ATGCTATTCTAATTAGGTAATAACAATAAACAAAAAGTAGTAATAATAAAATTTGAATGTAAGACACTAAAACCTTGTGTCATGCGCAGTAAAGGGTACCCATCCTGATAGGGTTAATACATGTTCATTTTTGCACATTTGTATATTCTTCATTAGTGACATAACTGTATTTGACTGCTGATCTGATATCTGATACGAAAGTGCTCTGACCTGTGAACTCAATGACAAGAAAAAGTTAAAGCTTTTGCCAAACAACAAAAACCAATACAACATTCATGCAATTTATTCTGGATTGAAATTACCACTTTCAGAAGCAACATTTACAATGCCAATATTTTTAAAATAAGCTAAAAGTATATGTATAATATAGGGATAGGACAAATAATACCTTTGGTCAGAATTCAGGTACCAACTTCTAGTATCTACATGGATATGGAAATATTTGAATTTGGTAGTAGATGTGACCATATTGAAAATACATGACTGATGACCACTTCATTATAGTACAATATTAAACTAGTTACTTTGTCATTGTTTTTTAAAACTTTGATAAGGGTGTACAGTTCTGCATAAGTGAACAGCCATTCCAGGTTCTTTAAAGGTTGTGTGAGACAGTGCTTTATGCTCCTAACCCCCTGCTGAAACAGTAGTTTTGGAGTGTGCTTGCCATTGCTACTATTCTGACCATCTGTAGAATACAACAGATGGGCATGATGCTTATTTAAACTACATAATGCCTTTCTGTATTACAACTACCAGGACCCTTAACTCTTTATTACCAGAGAAAATGGTATTATGTTTAGAAGCTCATAGAAACCAATTATGTGCGATACATGTCCAAGTTGTATCATGTCTGTGTAATATTATGAGGTAATATTTTCATGGAAATATTATCTGATTATATGAATAATTACAAAATTAATGTCTGATCAAATCAGGTTTTGTCAGATAGTGCAACATCCAATCAGCTATTTGTCCCATCCTCAATATAATAATTTTTTGATAGTAGCTTTCTCTTTTAAAGTGGTTCAGAAAAGACTTGTTCTACTTATACCACAGATTCACAAAAAATATAAATAGTTGCTTATAATTAAAAGCACGAAAAACAATAGAAATAAGAGATATTCTGAAACTGTAACTTATACCTGTTTTTTTTTATCTTTTCTACAGGTCCAGTAGCTTTAAAAAAATTGAATGTTACTGATCCTACTGCTGCACAACTTCAAGCTTTTAAAAATGAAGTAGCTGTACTTAGGTAATACTTCACCTATTTCTGTGCAATAGAACAAACCATTACTTTGTGTTGTAGGAATTTTGCTTGTTTTTACTAATTGCCTGCAGTTTAATAGACTAAACTTTTTTTTTCTCTCTCTCATTAGGAAAACTCGTCATGTTAATATTTTATTATTTATGGGTTGGGTGTCTAAACCTCATCTAACGATAGTTACTCAGTGGTGTGAAGGTTCTAGTCTTTATAAACATTTATACGTCCAAGAATGCAAGTTTGAGATGGTTGAACTCATCAACATTGCCAGACAAACTGCTCAGGGAATGGAGTAAGTATTCTATCTTAAAATATTGATTAAAATTCTTGAAGACTGAAGTAAGTAGGATAACTTGAATGAGAAATTAATATTACCTCATTATAACTTTCTTAAGAGTACTTAAAACCATAAATAATAATTAAGCTTAGTGTGTTATAAGTCACTTTAATTTATTGTAAAAAGATTTTTATTAGGTTTTACTTAAAACAGGTGTATATAGAAAATACTTCTCAACTTGTAATTCTGTTATATGTCATTGTATGTTGTAATTAGAAGTCAGAAGTTTGTAATTATCATTAGTAGTATAGGATATTTTCACAGTTATATTTGTAATTGGAAAACTATTTTCTTTTAGCTACCTTCATGCTAAGAACATCATCCATAGAGACCTCAAGTCAAACAGTATCCTTGTTAGCTAGTTTTAATAATTTTCTAAAGTATAATGATAATTTGAACCTTGTCTGTGTAACTGTATTAATTTATGATTCTTATCTTATGCTGCAGAAATATTTCTTCTGTAGTTTAATGTGGAAATATTTATTCTTTTTATTTTACTTAGATCTCTGTTTAAACTTTTTCAGATTAGCTCAGTCCATTAGAAAGTAAGTTTAACCTGCTTATAACATAAAGTTATATAAAAAGAACACCTTTGAATTTGGTAAAAAGAAATACAAATGTCTGTAATTTAAATATACTAGCACATTATGGATTTTTTATTTACATCTTAGGCTATTGTACATTTTGTCCAAAAGATATTTGCAAAATTGACTTGTTTTCTTAAATTTATTAGAATATTAAACCTTTTTCTTAAACATACTAGTATCTAGCATATCTTTGCTTAAAATTAACAGTATACAAATGGGCAAATATTGAATGATTTAAATTATAAGAAAATTACTGATTATAACATACACTGAAATAGTGGAGGCCACCAGTTACAACCAAACTTGGTCAGTGGTTTTATTCCTGAGAAAATCTGCTAATGCCTTTAAAAGTCAACCCTCAGACAAAGGCTAAGATGGAACACCTTATAGGAAAGTTATTTATTTATTTACTGATTATTGAATAGATTAGCAGAAAATTAAATATACCAAAGGTGGGGATAAGTCTAGAGTTATGCAAACAGAAAAAAATGTTGGCTTAGTTTTTTTTCAGGTGTGTTGTAAAAACTAATTCAAATGGATTAGAAATACATTTTTCTTCTTTTGCTGAGCAAAAGGTATAATTTTAGAAACGTCTTGGTGCTTTGTGGTAAGTCTGAGGGCTCAGACCACTAAAAATTGTTTCGATACTCATGGTGGGCACAGCATTCTGTAGCTTTGTATTTAACAACAACAAAAATCAAACATTTTTAGCATGTACAATAATGCTTCAAGTTTTTGTTCTTTTTACCAGACAACATCTAGCATTCACACGTATAAAGTTTATGGGTTGAGAAAGAAATGAAGTCTCATTTGTCTAGTATTCTAGAAAGAACCAAAAATCTTTTAGTGTTGTAGGTTAAATTAAGTGTAACTGTATGAAAAGAAAAATTTCTTGAAATGTTGCAAAGAAGGCTTAACAGAATGCCTAGAATTATTTGAGCATTTTTATGATTTAATGTAAAGCAACTAGAGAACAAGTCACCTATTGTGCTTCTTACAGTTTGAGCTGTTATTCTGTAACATTGGTTTAGATATATTTCTGCATGAAGATTGGACTGTTAAAATAGGAGACTTTGGTCTTGCTACTGTGAAAACCAGATGGAGTGGGTCAGAACAATTTAATCAACCAACAGGATCAATACTCTGGATGGTGAGATTTTCAGGTTATCTATGTTGAGTCATTAACATTACAAAAAAGTTTTGGGTAGTCATTTACTTTATAGCTGCTTAAGAGTAGCCATTCTAGGTATTCAGTGTATATTGTTTTTTCAATATCTTTGTTACTGGAAACAAAGTCATAATTTTCTCTTGTTAGGCTCCTGAAGTTATCAGAATGAAAGATTCTCATCCCTACTCCTTTCAGTCAGATGTCTATGCTTTTGGCATAGTTTTGTATGAATTGATTGCAGGCCAACTACCATATGCTCGAATCAACAATAGAGATCAGGTTTGTATGCTTATGTGCAATTCCATTGTCAGAAATAAGAAATACATTATGTTACAAAACACCTGGAAGTCATTATATAACTGAATTTTATACTCCTTCCCCAATATATTTTATCTTTACTTGTTACCTTTCTGTACAGGCTTGGTCATTTTGCCCAACATTGCAAACTGCATGTAACCAGGAAACTATAAATACTATAGCTTTTATTATAATAAGTGTACCTTTACAAAATTTGTACATTATAACTTTAGTATACAAAAAATCAATTTTTTTTAGTTCCGAGTGCAACGTGATTTTCATGTTAAGATAAAAACATTTTTCCATCTTACAATTTTGAAATTTCATTTGCAAAACTTCTAGGACCTCCCAGATGAATATAAAAGTTTTTTTCATTAAAACTATATTTTATGTTTTTTTTTTGCTAACACTACATGAATTCAGTCCATTACGACCGACCTTGTTACCACCACAAAAAATACTAAGTAAGTCTAGGTTACCTTATTTTTCTTTTTAGAATGCCTGCAGGTTTTAATTGAAAGTTATAGCTATTTATCCTAAACAGCTTCAGACTCGTAACAATGTACATCTTTTTTTATTTGACTTTATGTTTTATTACTCTCTGAACCATGTCTAACTTACTAAACCCACATAACAAGCTAGAAATCACCCAGTAATTGCGTAGCTCAAACTGGTATTGAATTATGTAACCCACAAGCTTCTCATGTTCATACTATGTTGAAAAATTAATTATTATTTCTTATTTATTTTTTTAATTTCTGTTTTCTTATTTAACCTAGTACATTTTAAGTTTCTAATTTTTATATTTTAGTTACTTTTATAACAGTAAATGAAAAATATGCATAAAAAAAACTTATAGTACTTACATGTGAGTTTTCTACTTTTTGCAGTTGCAGACTTAATATCGATAAATATTAACCCTAATTGGGCTAGGATTATTGTTAGTACTTTACTGAATTTCTATTTACTTATTTCAGATATTCCATTTAGAACATAAAATAATGATGTGCACAACCATACAATGCTCTATAACTGTTATAATTTAACTGGCTTTCTAACTAAGCTATGAGAGCATTAAAATAATTCCATCAACTGGTTGAACTGAACTCCATGATAACAACTTTGAATGTGTACACCAAATAACTTAAAAGCTGTCATGAGAATGAGCTAGCATAATATGTACACCAGCAAGTTAAAATCTTCACTATTTGTTGTAAATAATGTAATAGCAAATATCAGAGAGAATTAATTAACACTTTTTGAAAAACAGTATGTGATAGGAGGGAGTGGCATGTGCATTTGACTTTCTGGTTTATATTTCTGTAAATAAGATGATTGGATACATAGAAGTGAAAATAGAGAATTTTTTAAATATTTCCTTTTGAAATTAAGAAATTAAAACTTTTATGATATTATCATTTGATTTAATAACTATGTTTTGAATGTAACTATAAATAGCTCTTGACATGCATATTTACCTACCTGTATCCAGAGGGTTGTTTTTCCTTATTCATAAAATGTAATAACATTAAAAGGTGTGTAGTATTTTTGGAATTTCATAAACTTTCTGAAGTTCCTGCAGTGAGTTTGTTTTCTGAATGTTGTAAAATAAAATATATAGTCATGTATTATAAAGCATATTAGGGATGTACAAATGAAATGATTTCATTTCTAGATTCTCTTCATGGTGGGTCATGGTTATCTAAGGCCTGACTTAAGTAATGCTCGATCTGACACACCTAAAGCTCTGATCAGACTGATAGAAGATTGTGTCAAGTTTAATCGGGAAGAAAGACCTCTCTTTCGACAAGTAGGTCAAAATTTATGAATATTTCTCTAATAAAAATATAACTTCTCTTTTTTTTGTAATTAGGTATTGAATGAACATATTTTTTGTTTTCATTCTTCTTAATTTGTTCTAGATCCTTGCTTCGTTGGAATTACTGGCTCGTTCTCTTCCAAAGATCCATCGTAGTACATCAGAACCAACACTTAATCGAACCCATCTCCAGTCTGAAGATTTTACATACATTTGTGCCTCTCCAAAAACTCCAAGTCAGTTTGGAGCCTTCCCCTTCTTCTGATGTTTAAACCCAAACTATACAGTGAAGATCTCAGAGGTGTTATTAGAAGTTAAATAAAATGTGAAACATTCTACTTACCACTGTAGTGGTCTTGGAAAATTTTTTCTCAGCAGCATATCGTGGTGTATTTAATTAATTTAAGGATGCCAAATGAGCTAAGTATTGTATTTATACTGTTTCTTCTACTGAAGAAACTTAGGAAGACTTGTAAAAAATTCATTGAGTTCTGTGTTGGCTCATATCATGGAATGAATAAAGTTATCTGGTCATAAGCTATGCTGTGTGTTGGTGTATAAAGGTCACAAGGATGTCAGATTCATCAACGAACAAGCCCTTCAGGTAACAGAAAAAGTGAAGCTGTTCTTTTTTTGTGTTTCATAACTGTTGTTAAGAGTAAGAAACACAAAACTGATATTTTTTTGCCGCAATGAAAGGTAAAATCTTTATCATTAGTTACAGCCGATTAGTTTCAGTAGCACAGGATAGTCAGTGTTATGTCTGAGGTTATTAACGATTTACTACTCAATTTTGTTGACGTTAAGCACATTGCAGATTCTATTATAGTCCACTGATAATTATCTTTATTGTGATTTCATACTTCTCATTAACCAGATTCATCTACTATTTCTTACATGTCATATGGTACAATAGCATATCTTAAAATATTATATTACTTAGACATTCCCACTCTAGGTGATCTTAGATGCTACAAAGAAAAATCTTTGGCTATTTGGCATAACTTATCCTTGATATCTTTGTGGTATCGTTCATACATGTCCTGTTTAAAATACATTTAAAATCTATTATTGTCATGCCTATTTCAGCACTACTACTACTACACATATTTTACACTAGTGTTTCTGTTGATAAATATAATAGATAATACTAAAGAAAGACTACATAAAGAATTTTGTTTCTCAGGAAGAAGCTTGAAAATCTAAGAAGAATTACAAAAACAACACACTGTTTTCAACCACCAATACCTCATTTTATAAACAAATAATTTACTCATTAAACAAGTCTGTGATTTTGGTTTTCTAATTGAAGGACACTGTGGAAGTGTTTTATAATCAGCACTTAACAACTGATGATGGTAAATATTATATATAAGAAGTAAACAACTGACTGTGCATTTTGCAAGTAATGACGTACTCCATTCTTTTTAGTCAGTCATTAACATGTTTTGAATATTATTAATTTTATACTAATGCCTGATCAGGTTTTTAAGTTTTTAGGTACTTACAGTAGTATGCATCCAACAATGACAAAAAAAAACTGCAGACGTTTTAGTGTATCAAAAATTTAATTTTAGTCTTTATAGCAGCCATACAGCACTGGTATGGTAAAAAAAAAGTTGCATTAAGTTTGTTGCTGTGATTTTTATTTGATGGGGCTTTAGTTACATGATTAATGGGTTTTTTATTTGTTCCCTCTTTTGGCTCTTACAACAACAAAATTGACAATTATTCACTTTTTTTTAATTGAATATGTATTCCCTATACTTTTGCAAAATGCGATAACTGAAATTCAGTCTGTAGGGTAAACTGTTGTAAGATAGTAGTAAAATGTTTTGTGTACATGCAAGAGATCACAGTGAATACACTTTGGATGGTTTTTAAAAATGGCTCTAGAATTGCTACTATACCATTTGTATGATGTTGCCACTGTCTTTTTTGGTAAGTGCATCCATACTGATGATGGTATTAGACATTACATCACATATTCCCTGGAATTGCTCAGACGTCTGTCACAATGACATCTTTCAGTTGAAGAGTGATTATTGTATCATAGCAAAAGGCCCCAAAATCAGAGGTGAGGTCAAGGGAGTATAATGGAAGTGGTAAGACTATGCCACCAGTTCCACCATGCTTATTATTAAATACATTAACTTTTTTGTTGCCATGGGCATATCTATGGGACACTATATATAATAACCTTTGTTTGTTTTAACCTTGGGTAATGGGAAGAGTTATTTATCTATAAGCATGTTACAATTTAAATGCCAAAAGCTGGCAAAATATTGAAAAACTAATAGGCCTAAAGAACGATAGGGCTACCAGGCTAGATAATATTTCCACAAGGGTTTTGAAGGAGGTATAAGGTTTGGATATGTGAGCCACTTACTACTATTTTTGTCAGTCCTTGAATAGTAGGCAGATTCCAGAGGATTGGAAGTTATCTAATGTAATTCCTCTTTTCAAGGAAGGTGATAAAAATTGTCTATAATTATAGACCCATTAGTCTTGTATCAATTATGTGAAAAGTTTTGGAAAGTCTGATAAAAGATACTTTGCAAAATCATTTAACAAAGTTTAGAATTTTATTGGATAGTCAACATGGTTTCACTAAGGGAAAATCTTGCCTTACAAATCTTTTGTCATTCATTGAAAAGGTTACTGCTTATATAGATGAGGGTAAGAGTGTAGATTTGGAGTATCTGAATTTTCAGAAAGCATTTGACAAAGTGCTATGTAAAAGGCTTGTAAGAAAATTATCTCTATAGATGTGGGAGATAAGTTAGCAAATTGGATAGAAGAGTGACTGGATGGAAGAAAGCAGAGGGTTGCTACAAATGGAGTTCAGTCAAACTGGATTAATGTCACAAGTGGGGTACCTCAGGGCTCAGTCTTAGGACCTTTGCTCTTTTTGATTTACATCAATGACATAGATGAAGGAATGGTCAATAAATTACTTAAATTTGCAGATGATATTAAGGTTTTGGGTGTTGCTAGTTGTGAAGAGGATGCTGCTGATTTACAAAAGGATTTAGAGAGTTGTGCAAATAAATGGCAGATGGTTTTAATTATAATAAATGCAAGATAATGCATGTGGGTTATAATTCGGATGGGAATGACCTTGACAGTGGTTATGAAAGAAAGAGATATTGGTGTAATAGTTGATCAGTCTCTAAATCCATCCAAGTTGTTGCTAGTGGTAGGGCAAATAGGATTTTAGGTTGTATTTACAGAACTACTGAATACAAGTCTAAATAGGTTATAATTTCATAGTATAGGTCACTGTTTAAGCCATATTAAGAATATTATATTCAGTCTTGAGCTCCTTACCTTAGGAAAGACATTGAATTGTTGGAAAGTGTTCAGAGAATGGTTACCTGGGATGGAGAGTTTGTTATACAAGGAGAGGTTGAAATCTCTCAAATTGTTTTCTCTGGAAAAAAGGAAGAGTTAGGGGGGGATCTGATTGATGTGTTTAAGATTGTAAAGAGAATTGATAGTGTTGATGCATCATCTTTTTTTTTCATATTTAACAGTGTGAATAGTAGAATAGAAGTCATCTTCAGCAAAGACAATTTTATTTCTTTAATGGTAGTTGGCCTTTGGAATGTGTTGCCGTCTAATGTTGTGGAGGCAATAAATTTAAGTGAGTTTAAAAAAAAGTGTAATAAGTATATGAATGATAAAGGATTGGCTTTAAGATTTCTTGTTTCTAATTTATTTATTTTAATTTAGTTTTGAGGATGGAACAGCCGAGTTGGACCATGTTGTCCCTGAACGTTATGTTGTATATAATTTCAATGAAAAAAACCAAGTCCAAACAAAATTAAATTAATAATGCTGCATAAATTAAAAGGATTCCCAGGGTTCGGGCTATATTGTGGAATATTAAATGTGCCCTTGGCTTTGGAGGTGACTGGAAGTAGGACCCACATTGCATTAGGGATACACCATCTATTAGTTTTGACCTCCATTTGCCAGTCTCGTGAAGAAATGTATAAAAAATCATCAAAATAAATACAAGTTAGGAGAGCGAGATGTGGGTGCTCAAATGAACAATGTCCCACATCCATATCACCCTTCACTGCCAGAAAACGGTTGTGGGAAGGTAACTGCTCTCCATAATAAAAGAAAGAAAAACAAAACAGTGTTGATTAATATGTTTTGAAACTAACTATGTTACATCTTATCTGCCTAGATGGTTTTTGGAATGGAAGTTTTATATATTTAGAAAAATAAGATTTAAATTATCTTGTATAAAATTAAAAAATAACCTATAGATTTGTCATTTCATCAGTTACAAGAAAAATATGTTGTAATTCCCATTGATAAAGCTAATTGTAATTTTGGCTTTATTTATAAAATGTTTTATACACTAAATTTGATAAATGAAATCAATAGTACACAAACATTTAAACTTATTAACCAATCCAAAGATACAGTAATTAATAATTTCATTAAAGCTTATAAAAAAAACTTTATTCTAAACCAAATTATTTTGAAGATTTACCTTTTTTGTATGCTATTCCTAAACTACATAAATATCTGATTAAATTTAGATTTATTTAAAGTTCAATAAAACCAATTATTAAACAACTGGTCATTTTATTAAATAAATTACTTAACATTTTATTTGATAAAATTAAAAATGTAAACAGTAATAATAAAGAATAATCAACCCATTTTAGAATACCTAAACTCTGAACAAGTAAAAAATATTCAAACATTTGATTTTACCACACTATACCATAATTCCATTGAAAGATTTAATTTCTTTTATGAATTCATTAATAGAATGATTCTGTTATTCTTTCATAGTACTGGAAGAAAGAAAATTTAGTTCCAAAAATATAAAAGTTGTATTAAGTTTCTGTATGTATGATAATTATGTTTTTTTCAATAACCAAATATTTAAACAAGTAATAGGAATTTCAATAGGAGCTAACTATTCTACTTGTATTGCAAATTTATAACTTTATTTTTATGAGAATAGGTTTGTTGAAAATTGCACAAACCTGGACATTTTTGATTTAACGTATAGATAAATAGAGGACTTAATTAGTATAAATAATCTTGAGATAAATTATTATATTAATGCTATTTATCTGGTAGAATTAGAAAATGAAAATACTTCAGTTTTCACATGTACAGACACATTATTTAGATATAAAAGTTAAAATAATTGATTATGATATCCATCTAAATATTTTTGATAAAAGATAATATTTGTCTTTTCCAATATATGGCCTACCCTCTTTTAATAGTAATGTGCCATACTCTTCTGTTATAACTTTTGTGACTTCACAATTATTCAGATTTTTTTTAAATTTGTAATAAATTACAATATTTCATTACTAATATTGATGCAAAAATTAATATTTAATAGATTTAATAAAGAAACTCTAAATAATATTATTAAAATATTTTATGATAAATATAAAACATGTTAAATATATATAAAGAAGTAAAAGTAAGGAGTTTTTGCTGGAAATTTATGATAAGTATTTTTAGTTTTTAATAAGGTTGTTTAAACAACTTGGC